TTTGCCCCTGCCTTTTGACTGCGTCATGGCAGCACCCCCAGAGTTCACGGCGCCCTTCCTTCTGGCACCGTATAGCTGGGGTTCTGGGTTTCCACTTTCTAGCATAGCTTGTTGCAGGCCATGGTGGCTCTGAGACCTGCAGCCATACAGCCTTACGCTGGAAGAAGGACTCTCCCTCACACACGAACTCCTAATACTTCTCTACCTTTTCCTGTGCTGCGTGGGTCACATTGGCCCTGGTGACAAGCAAGATGCTGTCATCAGCAATAACTCAGTGGAGCAAGGATACTAAAGAGAAAATTTCCATTAGGTAAATAACTGTGAAAGAAGAACCCCAGAGCAGGGGGAGAAATTCAAGCCCAGGCTTCTGTTACACTGGCCAAATATCTCTGGCATCCCATGCTTGCTGAATCTCCTAAAAGGGTCAGGAAAACTGATAGGACGAAACAGAGGGACACAGTGTAAATTTTTTCTCTTGCATCATTCCAGCATCTACTTGAATTTCAGTTTTATAAAATCAGCTGTTCTGAGCCCGGCTCTAAACCCAGGCTAATTTGTAGTGGCTCCATTTCTGTAGACAGTGGGGTTATTTTTGGAAGGTGGGGTATTGACACGTAGTGTGTGTCAGCTACGCAGTAGAATGGGCATCTTGAAGTACTTCTGGGATTTTTACCCCCTTGCTGAAAATACGGCTTTATAGAAATTAATGACTTCTGGCTGGGGCCAGAATTCACAAGTGTGGCATGTGCTAGAGCGTCCTTCAGTGAAAGAAGGGGGGAAGTCACTGTTGTTTTTGCAAGGGTAATAGCAGGTTTTCTGAAGGACATCCTGTTCCTTCAGAACCTTTCATTTTAGCTAGGACGGTATTCACTTGCAGCCTTAAGTTTTTTGTGGACTTGAAATGGCTACCAAGTGAGCTATATTGACCTAAATGCTCCTTCTGGTGTTGAGGTGTAGCTTAGACTGAGTGGAGTTACGAGTTAGCTACAGATCACCCTCCAATTGCTAGCTCATGCTGTCTGCTCTGGTGCTTCCCTCCCTGACAGCTTCCGCTGTACCGGGGACACACCTGCCAGATGCTTTATGTGCTCACTGCCTCATTTAATCCTCACAACAACCCTGCAGAATCCGATTGTACCCATTTTGCATGTGAAGAAATTGAAGTTTGGATAACTCAATACTGTTTTTCTTGAGTGCTTCGTGTATTAGGCTCTGTGCTAAGTGCTTTGCACGTTTTATCTAATCCTTATGGCATCCTTGTAGATGGCTATTTCTTATTCCCATTTGAAGATGGGGAAACAGAGGCTCACAGAGGCGAAGTTACTTATCCATGATCTCGCAGCTATTAAATGTCACAGTCAGAATTCGAGCTCACGTGTAAATGTCTTTCCCTTATGCCACTTACCTATCTTCTTGGAGGAGAGAGGCAGACACAACTTGTGATTTATGCTTCTCCTTCACAAGCCTGGGGCGCAGGAGGGTTCCGTACATGTTTGACTGATTAGTTGTTTGACTGGGTGCAGAGCTGGATTGGACTTGCTTGTATCCTGATGATTTTCAGCTTTCCCTCCAGTGCCTCTGGGATTGGTTTTCCTTTGTTTGAGTATCTGCCCCCAGGCTTCATTTCCCATTTGGAGCATCTGCTATGAAAAAGTTTCAGCCTGAGCTCTATTTTCAATGCATATGGCTTTTCTTTTTAAAATGCAGAGGCAGAGCTGGGGTGGGTGGTGAAGCCTGTCCTGCACCAGCGACTCCCACATGATGTTGTAGCTCTCATGGGAATCTCTGCTCTGTTTGGATGATCATTTTCAAAGTCGAGGACATGTGTGAAACAACGCTTCCAGCCTCAGGGAAGACCAGTTCCAGAGGGCACCCATAAAGAGTGCTTACTGGAATCACCTCCCCCTACAGCCCATGTGTTCTCACCCTTTGAGGGAGAAATAAGATATGGGGTGTGATTTACTTTCCCACTGAGGTGGGGAATGAGAGATGGAATTAAGGATGACTCAGTGCTCCCACAGTGAGAGAAGGCCACAAGCTTTGTGGTGCCCTGGATTCAATACTCAGAAGCCCAGTGGACTGGCCTGAAGCCCAGCCTCTGACCCTTCATCTGGCTGCCTTCGGTTTAGTTCCTATAAAATATCTCTCCCTGTAAAATCTTATTAACCTCTCATCAGTACGGGTTTGGTTGGATCATGGATTTTCTACATCATTGCAAGTTTTCTGAGTTCTCAACGTCACATTTCTAGGGGTGAAGACTTTTGTAGTCATTTCCTATTAATACAATATCTTTGTACCCTTTACTTCCACCCACAAGTGACAAAGGACAAGCCCAGTTGGCTTACACAGTAATATTTTAATAGATAGAGAGGTGGTCATTCAAATGGAATCCCTAGAGTAGGTGGAGTAGGTGTGGGCACCTTTCCAGGGCAGTGGTGAGGCCCCTGAGAAGCACATGGAAGAATCCAGCATTTAGAGGGACGAGTGATCTCTTAGGTCATCTTATCCCGTCCTCCTGAGGTCAGTATGGTGTTTTCGTGCAGAGAACACCCGAGACCGGTTGGTGCCGGGTGCCGGGGCTGCTGCAGCAGAGTCAGCGGCAGTGAGGCTCCCTCGCACACGTTGCATATTGAACTTGTTTTCTTGATGGGCGGGGTCAGCTATGGGAAAGGGGTTGGTACTGGGCAGTTTGCCTGGATTATTCCCCCATATTCTCTTGGGGGGAAAAGTATTATGAGGTTTTTAACTTCTTCCTAGTTGGCTGCCAGGTAAACAGGACGTTAATTTAATATCCCTTCCAGGGAGATCTCTCTTCTCCAGGAAGGTAAGAGTTGAACCGCCCTCTCACCTTTTCTGTAATATCAGGGGGAGGCATTTTTGTCCACACCCTAAATGAGGGCCACTGGCAGCCTACATAATTCCAGAACATAGCAGGAACTCTTTCCAAAACAAGGGTCACATTTCTCTCTCTTCACTTGATTCCCAAGTGCGTGTGCACTTTGTGTTCCAGGTTCTTGTAGCTGTTTCATGTATGGAATTGTTATCTTCCTAACGAGACTGTCATTTTTGAGAATAGGTCCAAGGCTGCTATTCATTTGTATCCTCAGCAGTACCTAAATCTGTGCTGGGCCCAGAGTAAGTGCTTAATAAAGACATTCTAACTTGGATCATAGATCACAAACTGTCAGAGCTGGAAAGGACTTTGGAAACCACCAAGTCCAACACTCTAATTTTATAAATGGTACCACTCCAAAAATTCACTTTGGAGGCTGGTGTTTATCTGCTGGAAAGAGAGGGTTTTTTGTTTTGTTTTGTTTTGTTTTGTTTATGTTAAAGCCTAGTGCAAATGACCATAAATCTAAACCTGTGAAAGGCTTTCTTCAAATGGTGCACGATGTTCCTCCTTGGACTAGTAGCTGACTAATAATAACAGTAAGAATGCTAACTAGATTCCTACCCTGAGCCGCTGTCACTGATTCTTTTAGCCACATGACAGTGTCAGGACTATCTCCATTCTCCAGATGCCGAGAGGGAGGTGCTGCGGTCAGGCACCTGGCCCAGGGTCACGTGGCCAATGGAATGGTCGAGACTAGTATCTGGTTTGGCCAGACCCCTGAGCTCGTGGCCCGCAGGGGCTCTCAAGTGGGATCCCCCACTTAGTACAGAATCCCATGGTGTCTCCATCCTAAAGGAAAGTGTAAAATCACTTTTCATTAACCAGTTCTCTAATTAAACAGGGAGTGACAGGGAAGGTTAGGCAAAAAAGCAAGTAATGATAAGGATTGCATCTCCAGAAAAGTCCGTGATCACTGCCTGAGATCATAAAAGCTTTTGGTCAGAGGGAAAGGAATGAGAGCTCCCAAGTCTTGCTCCAGGAACCGTTGCTTTACATGGAACTGCTGTTCCTTCCCCTAGTCTCTCTTCTGTGCCCAGAACTCTCACCTTCCCTCGTCTCTCGTGTCAGAAGCCTCAGGACTGATGGCTTTCAGGGCAGATCTGTGTGCCCCTCCTTGCCAAAGCAGAATGAAATAGCCTTGTGATGGCCAGGCTGCCAGTGTACCGGGTCCTCACCGCAGGCTGTTTGCCTCGAGTCGTTCCTCTGAGCTTTGTATCTAAATAACATTCCTGTGAGTTTTCTAAAAGGTTAGTCCTGGGTCATTGGCACTTAAACCACTTGTTTTGGTAGATCCTTCTCGAGAAGGTTAATTACATATTTGATATCCTTCCCTTTTTATGTCTGAACGATGAGGGTAAGTACCCTGTGGTTTATTAACTGTCACTTTAAACCTTTTCAAATTGTCTTGTGACAAAACAGAGTTTTATGTCCTTTTTATTCAGCTTTGATGGATGAGACAGCTTCTCTGGTTAAAGTATGCCAGGATAAATAAAATCTCTCTCTGATTGGTGGGGGAGGATTTTGCATTTGAAGTCATGGGTTCAAGTCTGCCACTTTATGTGGAAGGTAACCTAACCTGTTAACCTTTCCATAGACTTTGTTTTTCTTTTGACAAATGGAACTGGGCACCTAGGCACTTGGTAACTGTTGAATAAGTGAAAGAAAAGGCATCTCAAAATGTGGATGCCAAATCCTGAAGCAACAGTTGGCCACATTTCTATTTTGAATCCACTAATTCTTAAGGCAAAGAGCCTCTGTCCTTACCGTTATAGAATCCCAAAGCTCGCCTCTCCTCCCTGAGGCCATTTTGTTATACCTTTAATTTTTCAGTAAGTTTGCAATAGGACTGTGAAAGGTAAATGTCATTATGGACTTTCAGTAGTTGTTTGCAAGCCTTGTGTCCACCTGTGTAAATGTCCCACAATTGGTTTTGTGTCCAGTGCTTGAAAACCACTCTTCCGGGACACACAGTATATGTAATTCAGCAATTAATCTCTCTCTCATTCAGTATTTACTGACTCGCGGCTAAGAGCAAGGGAAGGTATTTATTTAAAATAATTAGAACAGTAAAAAGTCTTTTCCTTCTGTTTTGTATTCATTCCAGTTTGCGGGGACGTTGTCAGATGGCTTAGGGAAGACGATGGACAATCGCCATCAGTCGGAGCGGGAGTACATCAGATACCACGCAGCCACGAGTGGTGAACACCTTGTAGCTGGCATCCACGGCCTGGCTCACGGTGAGTCATGTGATATCAGGCCGCAGAAGAGTGGCTCTTCTGCCCCAGTTCCTCGGAGGTGCCTTTTGCCCATCCAATTGCAAGAGGAAACCCTAGCTTGGTATCTGGGTGTGCCTGAAAGCCCTCCAAGCTCTCTTGTTCTGTCCTCCCTGGGTTGAAATGTTACAGCCTGTGAGAACTCTTCATTCATTTTCAAAATGTGGTGCACATTGCAGTTCCTTCCTGTTCTCTGGCTTCTGTCCCCGAAGTGTCCTAAGGTATAAAGATCGGAACTCCTTTTTAGAATATAGGACTGCTGCTTCCAGACTTCCCTTCTGCTTACGGATTATTCCTTCCAGAGAAAGCAAAATGTGAAACTGGCTGCCAGGTTTGTGGCCCCGACGTTTTTGAGTCTTGTATAAATGCACATTCACAGGGATTATACATCCTTGTGCCCAAGAGATGTAGGAGATGGCATGAGCCTGTTAAGTCTCTGAATTTGTTTGAATTCTGATTTTTAATGTTTCAGTCTGACTCATTTGCCTTTTGTTGCATCAGCAACTTCTCAGCATGGCGTTGAAGGCCCCTAGGAAAGTAAACCCAGCCAGCTCTTCCCTCCACTCTCCCCCAGCCACACTATATTTCAGCCACCCAGAGCCATGTCCTGCTCCGCAGACGTGCCTCCAAGTCATTGATCACTCATGTTTCTTCTGCCCTCCCCTTCTGTGCCTCACTTCCTTGCCTTTCATAATCCTACTCCACCTACAAGTCTCAACTCAGATGACGTTTGCCCAGCTCCACTGTCCGCAGTTAGAATCGATGATGATTTGAGCGCACGAGGCAGTCTGGGTTGTGTATGTAGCTAGCTCTGTGTGTCTTGCTTTCCTGATGGGCTGCGAGGGCCAGGAGAGCATAAAGACCACCTCTAGTCACGTTTGTACTTGGGCAGAGCCTCACGTGATGCCTGGCGTATAGCTCATGCTTAGTAATGGTTGTAAACTAAACTGTTGGTACCAGATTCTTAGGACTAGTCTGAAGCTATCAGAAGTTATATCAAGGTTAATCAAGTCTTGATTGTCTGCATTTGGAGGAAAAAAGAAGGAATAGACATAATAAAAAAATCATGTTTTTCTTAGTTTTTGTTTATCAAGTTTCCTAATGGTGAGGATTGGATCAAAATACCTCTGCTTTTCCTCAGCCTGCCCAACTGGAAGGCGAGCAGCCCCCAAGGAGACGTCCAGCTAGAAGTAAAATTTGGCTGAAATTGATCTGTTTATGGACTTGAAAAGTAGATTGTTGGGCAGTCATTTGGGTTTAAAGATTTAATCATTCTTTCTAGTAACTGTAATTCAGAGGACTGGTTTTTTTTGTTGTTTTAATGAGTATAAAGTGCTCTGCTATGTGTACTTGTCTTTATCTGTCCAGCATCCTTGTGACGCAGAGAGAAAGCATGGCTGTCCTCACTTCTTAGATGGACATACCAGTGTGCCAAGAAAATGAGTGATTGTCTCAAGGTTGTAAAATCCCTTCCAACCAAGGATCCTTCAGATAATATGGACAACACCTCCAGGAGCCAGTTAGGCCATTCTAAGACCAAGAACCAGTGGCCTCATCCAAGGAGGACCCATTAAGCCCTGGGATATATGAAAGCAGTAGCCTAGAGTGAGATCCTTCCTTCAGGATGAAAAAAAAAACCCTTAAAAGATAACAAGAACCAGAAGCAATTGAATCTCCTTGGTTTAAAAACTGGGAGGCATGCTCCGTTCTCCCTGTAGGCCCTGCTTGACCCAGGTTTAGTAATGTTCTGTCTCTGTCATGAGCTTTGTTCAAAAGTTTGGGAAAGGCATGTTGCCTCACTGGAGCAAATGGACCCAGGATGCAAAAGAAATGTTGTGAATTGTTAGTACATTCTCACCCAAGGAATTTCCTTTACCAATTTGTCTCACTGGAGCTGAAGCGTCTAGAGAGTCCTCATACCCCCACTGTCAAAGGGTAAACACCCTGTGAGTGTCCCTGGCACAAATCCTGGAAATGCTTTTTCCCTGCAATGCCTGTGTCCTCTCCAGCCTTTGCCAACTTCTGGCCACTTTTGAGGCTCTTTAAGGTCACTGTTGTCAACTTTCAAAATGTTTGGAATGTCCTTTTGACTTAGGTTGGTCTTTTGAACTGGCTGCATTGAGGGTCCCTGCTGGCTTTGGCAGCTTTGGGGGTGCCCTTCATCAAGGCTTCCCCCTTTACTCTGATCGCCTACACCTGTTTCAGCAAAGTGTGCAGTAGCTTTACCCCATTTCAGACATTTGGTGGTGTTTGTCAGTCACACAGTATTCTTTGAAAACTGAGGATTTATATTTAGTCATCTCTCCACCTTATGTTTTATGGGATCCCCACTTTCCCCAAGGGCCCTGTTTGCTAGTCTGTCAATTAATCCTGCGTCTACACCCTCTCCTGATTGCGCATATGCTATTCATGCTCTAAAACTAAAAAGTAGTCACTGTTAACCTCTTCGCTTTACTTTGATTCTTTTTTTGTGTGTGTGTGGTACGCGGGCCTCTCACAGCTGTGGCCTCTCCCGTTGCGGAGCACAGCCTCCGCACGCGCAGGCTCAGCGGCCATGGCTCACGGGCCCAGCCGCTCCGCGGCATGTGGGATCTTCCCGGACCCGGGCACAAACCCGTGTCCCCTACATCGGCAAGCGGACTCTAAACCACTGCGCCACCAGGGAACCCCTCTTTGATTCTTTTAAAAGTGAAACACGCTTTACTTCTGACCAATGTGTAATGTATATTCTCTGACTCTAAACTCAGTGGGCAAGTCTGCTGCCTCCCCATCTTGAGTTGGCCTGCCTGTGACCTATCAAGAGATTGACATTATGCCCCTAAGTTTACCTTGCCAGGTGCATGGAATTGAGGGGTTTGTCTTTAAATGCTTTTGCTTTTGTCCTTGGCCAGCTTACAATAGCCCTTGTCTTTTCTGCTAGGTATCATTGGTGGACTGACCAGTGTTATAACCTCAACGGTGGAAGGTGTGAAAACAGAAGGGGGTGTCAGCGGTTTCATATCTGGCCTTGGGAAGGGGCTTGTTGGCACTGTAACCAAGCCAGTGGCAGGCGCCCTGGACTTTGCATCAGAAACAGCCCAGGCGGTGAGAGACACAGCCACACTTAGTGGCCCCAGGTCAGTGGTTGTCGGAGGAGTGGCTTGTGCAGTTTCCAGCCCGGGTCTGCTGCCTCTCCTGAGCCATACTGATATGTTGAATCCTATACTTTTTCTGCCTTAATGATGTGATTTTTAAAAATTTGAATACATGTAACTAAAATTTCTGACCTGCCTAATATAGAGGCATGAAAATGAGGCACAAAAATCTGGCATGAATTTTTCCAGATCTATTTTTATATCTGTATCTATCTATCTATATCTATATCTGCATGTACTGGATATGTGTGTGTGTGTGTGTGTGTGTGTGTGTGTGTGATGTAGTTTTTCATTAGAGGAGTCAGAAATATGATTGGATCCTTACACACGTTCCCTGTTCACCAAACTAACTAGACCCCTACATGCCCATTAAGAATACTCTCAGGCCATAGGCTGTGTCTTGCTCCGAGACCCCATGGGGTGGTTTGAGAATCCCTGCAACTGCGGTTCACCACATGGGTCTGTCCCTTCTTAGCTCTCCTTCCACTTGAAAGTGCCAGCCAGTTCCCTAACCTCATAAAGAAACTCCCCAAGGAAGTTGGCAGTTCTTCTGTGGGATGCTGTCTTGCCTTGATACCAGCTGAGACAGGAAATCAGTGACAGCCCATATGGCTCCAAATCTCATAGAATCCAACAACTTTAACTTCGCTCTTTGTGTCAGTGGCCTATTTTAGCCTCCCTTTTTCAGAGTGACTAATTGGGGATCTTATCAACAAAGGGTATAATGAATGTTACGGTTCCCAGCCAAGCTGGACTCCACTTAAGCCCAGGAGGATTTCGCTGCTGCCTGGTTAATGGATATTCCCTGAGTGAATCAGTGTCCCCTTTTAGAACGCCTAGGGCCTGGGCCACGTCCACACCCTATCGCTCCCTCAAATAGGATTTGAAGTGAAACCGTCCGCAGTTAAAATGAATCCATTTTCTGTCACAAGGAAACCTTACTGATGACACATTACTGCACTAGGGGAAATACTTAAGATTGTAGACTGGGACCACGTAATATGTTCTGCCAGAAAGTCTTCCATCTGGAAGCAGCTGCTTTTTTACAAAAGGATCTGTAGGGTTTACTTTAGTTAATTTTACATTCTCTTCTCAGACGCAGAGCTGAAATAATCCTTGAGCATATTTTGGAGCATTTATGGAGTTGGGAAGAGGGGCAGGAGGGAGCCTTCAAAAGTGTTTCCAGTTAGTTTTTCCGTGTCTGCTCAAAGCCCAGGAAGTCCGCCACAGGTATTTTGTTAGGACAGTAAGACCTAATGAAGCACGAGTAAAGCGGAAGGCCCCTAAGAATTCCAGAAGATCCATCCTCATCCTTAAAATCCGAGAGTGGTCAAGGGACTACGTGAGTTGTTTCCAAAAGGGTCTGAGATGTATGTGTTAAATTGAGAAATACTATATTTTGTGCTGTAAACTCGAATGATGTTGACCAGAAAGAAATCACTTGCATTTTATACACTGTCAATTTGGAAATCTTGATGAAGTTTTGCATATTTTTTAGGGCACAAAATGGTTGCTGCAGAAAGGTGGTGGTGTCATTTTTACCAGTTGTCTGGCTTTGCTGTAGAAGGTTCTGTTTAGTGTCAGTCAGTGTATATCTGTCACTCATTCATTTTTCAGTTAGTAAATATTGATTGAAAATTGCCTAAGAACTCAGGGTTGGGAACATAGCAGAAAGCAAGGCTGTCCCTAGTCTCAAAGGACTTACAGTCAAGCGGGGCAGCAAACATAAAACTAATAATTTGCTAAAATTGTGATAAATAACACAGGAGATTTACAGAGTGCTGTGAGACTGTATAATTAGAGAAGGCGAGGAGTAGAAGGTTTGCTAACGTGGGATCAGTGGGGTCAAGGGAAGTGACTTTCCTAGGGAAGTGATATTTGAGATGAAGCCTGAAGTAGAAGTATGACTTGGCCAGGTGAAGAGAAGAAAGAATCACCTTCTAGGTAAAGGGGTGCAGGGAAGCTACGCAGCTTGTCTCAAAGCGACCAGCAGTTGGGCAGTCTAATTCAAGTGCCCAGAACGGCTGTCTTCTAGTCACTCACTCCTCCTAGAAACAAAAGCTCTAGTGATGAGTGAGGGGCAGCCAGCTAGCCGTGGGCCTACAGACACGGAAGCTCAAAGCGGGGGGCATTAAGCTGCTGCCTCTCCTCTCTGTCCCTGGAGGAGCCAGTAGTGGGAGAGCCAAGGCTGCAGTTACCACGTGCTAGACCTGTGAACTGAGGGCCTCAGAGAAGCTTGGCCCTTTACCCTTCATTGCACTGAAAAGGCACTACAGATTCTTCGGAAACTCTTTAACCAATTTCCCTTAGTCCATTCGTCTAGATCCAAAAGTAGGGTTATTAACAAGGAGCCAAGCACTAGAGAGAAAAGAGCACTTGACCCCGAAAACGATAGCACTCGGCCCCCACCCCCTTACCTATGAGCTTTGGGCCCTTGGTCAAGCCTCCTAGCCTCTCCAAGCCTCAGTTTCTTCCTCTATGAACTGGGATAAATATACCTGTTTGTTTATTCTCTCTCTCAGAGGTTTGAAGCCCAACCAGAGTTATTTTAATGTGGATGCTGTAAAGAACTATAAAATGCTGGGTGATATTACTTTTGAAGTCACATTAAAGGAGCAGAGAGATTTTTGCAGGTGGAGAAATGTTGCAGTGCCTTAAGGGTTTGTTCTGATGACACTGTGATCTCTTAGGAACGTACTAGCTCTACCAAGGGATAAATCACCCTGATTTCTTGGAAGTGAGTTATAACTGTCTCCAACCATCCCTGTTGATTGAACAGGATCCAGGGGTGTTACTCAGGGTTTTTCCCCACTGTTTAGACAACAGGGACTAACTAATGATTTGAAGGGATTAGAAGTGAGATTCTGACCGAGGGCTGACCTGAGTCCAGGGACTGAGCCAGCAATAGAACCCAGGAGTCCAAGGGCTCTGCCTCTGAGTCCGCTCTTGGAATGAGACTTTCTGCTTCCTTTGTAATATTTCATCCAAGTGAGGGCTTAGATCTTAGCATCTATGTTTTAACTGACCCAAATTTTAAGCAGATGATAGCAAAGTAAGCCATAAAACTGTGGAAGGCTATTCCTTCCAGTAATCCGTCTGAAAAGTGGCCTTACAGGAAATATTGGCTCCTTTTTGTGTTTATTTGAACATGATTTTATTTATAGGGAACCCCCCCCCACACTTGAGTTCTTTTAGATTAAAATACTTCCAAGTTCCTCTCCTTGTTGGAGTGTGCAGGCATTCCAAGAAGACAGCCACCTAACTTTTCCCTGAAATTTCCATGCAATCTAACAGTTCTTGGGAAGGCAGGTGGGGGTGGGGGAGAGGAGAGGGTGGAGGACAGCAGAGCCTTTGGCCTCAACATGAATGCTGTGGACCCGTATCCCCTGCTGCATTTGTTAACCGTACAAGTATGTGTGGTTTGGAACTGAAGGAAGAAGCCTTTTCCAAGGCAACGTTCTGCTGGCTCAGGTTGCATCTTCTCGTCTCTGTGTGTTGAGCCACATTTGTCTGTTCCCAAGTAAAGTTTATGAAAATGGCACCGATGCAGCCACACTTGTGGTGCCACTGAAGTCATGTAGACAAGCCCACCACCCTTCAGGAGACCGGGCCAAAGCAGGGCGCCCGCTGGGCTGCACGTCCAGTTCTCTGCGTGTGTGGTGGTATTTGCTGGTAGCGTTTAAAAAGATACTTGGGTAGAAAGCCTCAGAGACCCAGGAGCAGCAAAAACACCATGGAAAAGAAAGAAGGGTCTGACCCTGAGCTATTTATTTGCTTGTTTATTTCTCTGAGTACCATATGTCGTACACTTGGGGTCGCATGACGTTTCAAGAAAGTAGCAGATGAAGATTTATGAAGCTGGGCCCCTGGGGTTTCCTCCAAAATATTTCTTCACCTTTTTCGTCAAGACCCAGAACAGGGGGGAGAAGAGGGAGCTGGCAGAACTTGAAATATTTAAACTAATTTAGCAAAGCTCAGGAGTGTTGGGGCTTATCTCATTATTTAAGTTAGATAAGGAGGAAGGGGGAACCTGAGGGATAATGATAGATCATTGTTTAAGAACATAGCATCAGGACTCTGATAATGTTCTGGAATCCCGGGACCCTTGTATTGTGCACGTAGATGTAAATTCCAGTTGCTCTGAGAGCTTTTGAGTAACCATTTGGTTGGTTTCACAGAAAAGATTTACGGTGGGCATATTTGACTTCTTCAGTGCACATACTCCCAAGACACCATCCAAAATCTGTTAGAGACTTTCCACTAATGGCCTCTTAGATGTGAAATTGAAATGGATTTTTTTCAGGAAAAACCCTTTTTGTTAGTGTTTGCATCTTACCCATGACTCTCCGGGATAAAAGGTCATCAGAGCCTGAATGCTGTCAGGTTGGACAGGTGAGAAGAAAATCAGCAAAGGGCGTTTAGGGAAGGCTTCTCCTGCTCTTCCATTCTAGTCTGGCAACACTGCTCTGAGAGCAGCTCTTTGCCCTTCTTGGTATCATACATAACACATCAAGCAGAATTGGCTTGAATTAAGCCTTTAGGGAACTTCCAAAGGTAAAAATCAAATAAGAATTTAAATGTTTGTTAGGGTATATACCAGAGCTCTCGGTTTTTTCCACCAGTGTTTCCTTCTGAGGCAGAGCACGGTGGACCGGTGCCCCATGGATCTGGAGGCAGAGCCAGTCCACCATTTCCTGGAAAGTTTCTGTTTCATCTTAAACCTGTAAATGAACTTTACAGTTTACCCCATGTTTGTTTTAATAGCGTAATGTTTTTAATTGCTACCCAGTAAAATTAGCCATTCAGAAAGATACACCGTGTCATCCTGTAGCTCCTGCCTCCTGCTCGTCTAAGAAGTACAAGATACCCGTTCCAGAAGATTCTGTAGACCCTCATGGCATCGATACAAAGCCGTGGTTACTGGTCTGGGTGAAAAGCAAGAGGTTTGACCCTGTAGGCTCTGTTTCTCATCTTCGGGCATA